ACAACGACCGCAGCCAACATCAACCTCAGCAGCAGCAGCAACAGCAGCAGCAGATGCAACAACAAACTCAACAGCAGCAGCAGATGCAACAACATTCCCAACAGCAGCAACAACAACAGCAGCTACAACTACAACAAATGGGCAATCCTGATGCTTCCCAAGTAAGTTCTGCCTCCCCCGAAAAAAGGGACTCTGAGATCGCTGAATTAAAAGCCAGCCTCCTTAACCTCCGCACCAAACGAGACGCCTTCTTTTCAGAAACCAAAGCCCAGCTCGCCGAATTCGACAGCCACGTCCTGGCTCTATCCCAAGCACTCGCACGGGCAACCGCAGCCTCAGCCGCCGGCTCCCCCCCCCCTCCCCCCCGACCGCGTAGAAGCCAATCCTCCGCCCCCGCCCATGGACTGCTCCCCCATTACAATTGCCCCACAACTCCCCCTCCCCCCATCCCAGACCCCCAAAGGCTCATCCACACCATCCCTGCCCAAACGCCTCCCTAAACGAAAAAAGACAGCCAACATCCTTCCCTCAGACTCATCAGAGGACTCCGACCCCGACGAAGAATCCGACCATAAAGGCCGTCCCCCTCCCATCCATCTCATTCAAAAAGAACTCTGGTTCGCTATAAAAAAATACATGGACGCCGAAGACATTCCCACCAGACGCACAGTCGTCACAAACGACTCCATCGCATCTACCTCAATTCCATCGACGATTTCCGTCAACTTACCGCCAAAATAGAGGCCGAAAAAATTCACTACTCCACCCACCAAGTCCGACAAGACCGCGACCTCGAAGTAGTTTTCCGTGGTATCCTCGAATTTCACTCGGACGACGATATCAAATCCGAACTCGCCAAAAAAGGCCTACCCGTTAAATCCGTCCGTCGCATGCGCAACGGCGACAAAATTTGGCCCCTTGTCCACGTCCACCTCAAACGATCCACCTCCGCAAACACAATCTTCGAGCTCAAATGTCTTGGCGGCATCAATGTCAAAGTCGAGCCCAAACGGAAATCCAACATCGTCCCTCAATGCCGCCGTTGTCTATAATACCGACATACGGCAGACTATTGCAAAGCCCCCTGGGCTTGTTCCTTCTGCGCGAAACCCCACGCCTCCCCCACCTGCCCTAAAAAAGACAAACCCAACAAAACCCCCACCTGCTTCCACTGCAAAGGCGCACACCGTGCCACTTACCGAGGTTGCCCCAAGGCACCTCCACCCAAACTACCCACACACCCACATCCCAAGGGAAACGCAGCTTCCCCTCCCTCCTCCAATCCTCCTCAGCCCCCTTCGCGGCTTCCTCCACCCCCTCCCCTCTACTCGGTTCTACCACAACCGTCTCCACCCCCCACTCTAGCCGGACCCCCTTCCCCCGAAGCCCTCTCACCTACGCCCAAGTAGCCGGCCCCAATTCCCCCTCCCCCCCACTTCAAGCCACAGCAACCGAAAACCCAGCCCTCCTCCAGCTTTTTCGGGAGTTCATCAACAATTTCACCGACGTCCTCCAACGATCCGTCCTCCTCACACCCCAGCCCCAAAATAACCATCCTAAATTGGAACGCAAATAGCTTCTTGGCCGTCGGCAAAAATAAACTCGCGGAACTATGTGACCTTCTCGACGAACTCTCCATAAAAGTCGTGTGTATCACCGAAACTCACCTACAGCCCAACCGAAAGCTCTTCATCCCCAACTACTCCGTCTATAGAAACGATCGCTCCAACTCCAAATTCGGCGGTGTCGCCACTCTAGTTCACAACTCCCTCAGACACAAAGCCATTAGCACTCCCTCCCCCTCCCTTGAAGTCAACGGAGTTGAAATCTCACTAAATAACAAACCCCTACGCATCATTACCTGCTACTCTCCCCCAAACGCTAATAATCTCTCTGAAATCACCCCCCTTCTCAACACGAACACTCCGACCGTTCTAACTGGCGACTTTAATGCCAAACACAGCTCTTGGGGCTGCCAAAACCGAAACCCCAAAGGTACAACCCTCCTCCGCCTCCTATTAACTAATCAATTTACAATTGAAGCCCCCGGTGATCACACCCACTTTCCCGGGGATCCCAACAAAACCCCTAACATTCTTGATATTTTTATCACTAAAAATATCACCCTAGAGAACGACCCCCGTACAATCTCAGTACTGAATTCAGACCACTACCCGGTTCTCCTCGATGTTCCCGGCCATAGTTTAACAGATCCTCCCAAAGAATCCAAAATTAATATGCTAACCCTACAATACCTCCTCGAAACCTCCACCTTCCAATTTCAGCAAATCCACTCCATCTCCGACATCGAAAACTCCGTCACCGCCCTCACAACTGAAATTAAAGATAAAATACTTCTAGCTAGCAGCATATACCTCCCCTCTTCCCCTTCCCAAAACGAAAACCCCCCCAGCTGTCCGCGAATTAATTCGCAAGAAAAACAAAACCCGCAGACTCCTCCAAAGAACCAGGAATCCAGACCTTCGTCCCAGGCTCAACAAACTTAAACGCGATCTGAGCAAAGCCCTACAAACCTCCCGCGACTCCCTTTTTAACAGCTATATATCCGAAGCTGAGCGAAACCCAAGGCGTTGCTGGAAAGTGATTAAATCACTGTGCAACCGCCAACCCTACTCTCCCCGTCTCACCAAAAACGGACTTTCCTTTTCTGCCGAAGAGGACAAAACAAACATCCTCGCAGACTCCCTCCAAGACCAATGCTCCCCTTTCCCCACACACAATAACTACACCGACTTCCACAACTCTGTTAACGAAACAGTACACAATCTAAAAACCTCCCCCCCCCCCCCCCCAATTCCATCCAACCTCTCCTAGAGAAATCTCCAACGCAATCAAAACCCTCTGAAACCGCAAAGCCCCAGGACCCGACGGCATTCCGAACAGTGTCCTAAAAATTCTCCCCCGCCTCCACATCGTTTCTATCTGCAACATCATCAATGCTATGATGCGACTACAATACTTCCCAAAATCTTGGAAAGTAGCTACCATCATCTGCCTCCCCAAATCCGTAAAACCCTTAAACCAAGCCTCTAGCTACAGACCAATTAGCCTTCTCAGCACACTCGGCAAAATCGCTGAAAACATCATCCTCTCCCGCCTCAACCAATTCATCACTAACAACAAGGTTCTTCCCGACTTCCAACACGGTTTTCGTCACTCCCACGGTACCTGCCACCAACTCCTCAGGGTTTCCGAGTTCATCGCTGACAACCGAAATAAAAGACAGCACACCACCATGCTCCTCCTAGATGCCAAGCAAGCCTTCGACAGAGTTTGGCACAACGGTCTTATCTTCAAGCTTTTAAAGCTTGACTGCCACCCCTATCTGATCGGCCTCTTAAAGTCCTTCCTTACTGACAGGACCTTCAAGGTTCGGGTTGGTAAATCCCTCTCCTCCCCCCAAAAGGTCATCGCTGGCGTCCCACAGGGCTCTAAACTCTCCCCAGCTCTATTCAACATCTTCTGCTATGACATCCCTACCCAAAATAATATCATGACCGCTCAATACGCTGACGACGTGGCCCTCCTATACACTTCCAAATCAAAAAAGTTTTGCTCCTCAGTCCTTAACAAATTCATCCCAGACCTTTTAAAATGGTATCATAAATGGGGTTGGGTTTCAACCTCAACGAAACCAAATCGGAAGCCTTATTCTTCTCCCACCGTAACATCCCCCCCGAAAGTCTCATAATCGGATCCCACAAAATCCAATGGAGTAAATCTGCCAAATACCTCGGAGTGGTATTCGACAGAAAACTCAACTGGAGCAAACAAACCCAAGCCGTCCGTAATAAGGCTAACGGCGCCTTCGCCTCCCTTAAGCCCATCTTTACCAACAAAAACATTTCCCAACCAACCAAAATCCGCGCACTCAACGCCATCATACGTAGCATCAGCACATACGCCATTCCTGTCTGGGGATCCGCAAAATCCATCAACAAACTTGAGAGCACCTACATGCGCATACTTCGCAATGCCCTCAACTTCCCATGGTTCATCAGAAACTCCCAAATTCTACGGGAAACCGGCCTCCCCTCTATCAAGGAAGCTGCCGCCACCTACGCTTAAAACCTCCGTTCCTCAATATCCGAGCACCCAAACCCCATCATCAACTGCTTGGTGTCCTACACCAGCAAAACAAAGGACAAAGTCCCTAGACCTTGTTCGCTCCTCACCCCAATATAACCTTCTCAAGTCCCCCCCCCCCCCCCTCATTCCAAGCCTTGCACTCTGCGTAAGTATCACTGCCCCCCCCCCCCCCTCGGGTGACCTCCTCCCCTTTCTTGATTCATAACCTCCGGGTTGGTAATCGCCGAGGAGGGGTTTTTAGCCGGTAAAAATCCGGCACTACCCACTACTTCATCTCAGTGGGTGTCCTTTTGAGGATTTTCCCCTCCTCTCCCATCAAAAAAAAAAAAAAAGGACACCTCTAAGTTAAATATTCATAAATAAACAAAATGCTTACGTGGGAGTATTAAAAAACAATTTTTATACTGTAAGTTCAACTACTTATATCTCAATCTTAATTGAAGTTACAATAAAAAAATTGAATTTTTGTAATAAAAATAATTTATTAAAAAACGATCATTAATTGATTCCAATAAAACAGTTTACAACTAAATCAAATTCTCATTCTAAAAATTCTTACCTTGCATAAAAAATAAAAATTTCGAAATTTAATAATTAAGAGAACAGAACAAATTTTTTCAAATTAATTACATGGATTCAATATAAATATCACTGTCAGATTTCTTAAAAATTGCTGAAATATGTTATTCATTTAGTAGATAACTAAAAATGTTATAGCAACAAAACGTCATGTCTATAGAATAGAATATCTTGCAAATATTTTAAACCATATACATATTTCTATCTATTTTACTTTTGTAATGCCCGCCTTTTTAATTCCTTCTTACTGTGACATTTTGATGATCACTTGTGAATCTTGACTTTACTTATTTTAAACACACAGCTAGTGATGCATGAGGATTAAGTGAGCATATTTTTCTATAAATAATTTAGTCATAATCTTTGTGTGAAATTAAATTTAGCTTATATTATATTATGATTTCAAATATATTTCATTCATAAGTAAATTTGACAATGCATGCTAGGTAATAATGAGAGGTTCTTTTATATTAATTGTGATAAAAATTATTGTTGAGAATAAAGGTACAAAGTAATATGTTTGTATATTTTTAGAAAGTTTGATCCTGATTTGGAAAAACTTAGACAAGAAGTTTTAGGTCCACCAGATTTGCAAACTACTTTTTCAAATGAATGTCAAAAGGGATCACAAATTCATGCTGCTTATCTTTTCGAAGATGAGGGTAGAGTATTGCTACAAAATCTCTGCCTCTTCTTAAGTGCGACTGCATCAGGAAAATCTTATGGAGACTGGCAAAAATTTGCAGCTAATCTTGGTCTTATTTCAGAACAAATAAAAGTGGGTTAAAATATTTTTGATTTGCATTCATTGCTCACAAAAATAACAATTTTTCAGTGTATAGAATATGACTTCAAAGGACTTGAAGATCCAACTTATTATGTGCTATTAGGATTTGTTCACTCTCCAGGAGCTACTTTAGATAAAGTACTTCTGGCATTGCAAAAAATTAATCGACTAGACATCATAAATCGTACAGCAGATTATTTTAATGATTTTTTTCAAGATATAACAAAAAATAGGAGTTCTGGTAATAATAATCATTGAAAAATATTCTTGCAGCACTAATGGCAAATTCGCATATACTACCGATTATTTATAATCTTTTAGATTTGAAAAATGGAATATATATGCCTGATTTTCTACCTAGAGCTCCATTAGTCTTGTATCCAATTACAAAACATAATGAAACTACCAAAATTATTACAAAACATTTTTGTGAAAGTGATAATAGACAAAATAACAATAGTGAAAATGTATGTTTTTATGCTATTTATAATTTTAACATTCATTTCTCAAGTAAAATAGAACAAATTAAAAAAAGCTCAATTAATGTTTTAGGGCAAAAATAAGTATGGCAGCATAATCATGTTAACATTCGCTGAAGATGGAGCCAATACAGCACAAAATATTCTTAGAATTTGTAGGTCAAACGATCCTAGAATTGGTGTAATTATTTTACAAGAGCAAGAAAAGCATGTTCTAGGTAAAACAGAAGAATTTATTGAAGATTGTATGCACCAGGTACAATTTAATTTAATCATTTTAATAATAAGAGTCTATTTAAAAACTTTTGTTACTTTAACATTATTTTTTAGGTCAATTACATTGTACCGATATTAACAGAAAAATATTTAAATAATATTAATACTAATACTTACAATACTGCTAATAATACCAATTTAGATTCTAAATATATCAGATACATTTTTTCATTGATGAGATATGAGTACAATAAGCAGGGTTGTAAAAATAAAAAAGTACGGTGAGTAAAATGTAAAAAGATGATCACAATATCTTTGAAAAGTATAGTTATAAATTATAATTTTTCATTCGCAATTATACTTTTTTGTTTATAGTTGTATTGTACCAAATGATGAAGTTCAAAAAGTTGTACCATTAATCAAACATCCGATATTGGAAGCTTGGTTTAGAGAAAGCGATATAGATTTAGTTATTAAAAATATTATTCTTCAAAAATTTTAATTATTTCTAGTTATTTGTTTTGAAATATTTATGAAACTGTTGCACTTGTTAAAATTCTTTAATAATTCTCAAGGAACTAATTGTAACAAGTATTTTATATAAATATGTAAGTATATTTTTTACATAAATTTTTACTTCTCAAGATAATATTCTATAGAAAATTGCTTGTTCTAAACAATTATAGATTTTGAATCAAAATAAAATAAAAACATGATTTACAATTTTTACTTACAGAACTACAGGTTTGTTTTGATTCCGCCCCAATCTTTCGTGAATCTGCTATATAAAATTTAATTTAAGTTTTGTATATTGTTTCACAAACATTTTCACACATAAAGAAAATTAAATAATTTTCTTATATATTTTATTATGCCACATTAATACACAATGTAAGTCACAACAGGTCAATTTCTTTTGTTTTGATATTTAAGTTTTGTTATGATTCTATCATGAATTTACCGCCCTTTTACAGGGTTAGAACATATACCTTTTTCATTTTGAGAATTTTCCGTAATCCGTCTTATACATAAGATCAAATCCACCGAATTTTTAACTTTTGCGTAATATCTATATAATTCAACAATTATTCTAGCTGTATGACTTTAAATTTTAATTTATTTATTATTTAAATAAAGCATCTTAATTTTATTATTTATAAACAATTTCGAGTGTCCAAGTACTTATATATTTAAACAAAAACAAGGACAGTCATTACTTGAAAAATCTGAAAATTTCTAATGAAATTAACAAAATTTTTTTTTATTTCCATGGATTGTACTCGCAGCCTTTAATGTAGCGCATTAATTATATATCTATAATGATATTTTGTTATTTGATGATGGCGGCCTTCAGTAACCTAACAAGTTGATTGTTAATAATTATAAATATTTATTTATAATATTTATTAATAATTAATAATATATATTAATAATTATTAGTAATTATTAATACTTATTGCTGATACAAAAACAAATAAATAAATCTAGTCGCATCACGAATATATATGCACCTTACGTACATCTATTTATGTAATTTACGCGGGTAATGTACTCTTAATTAATACATCCCGATTCATGAAAAAAATCTGATTATATTGTAACTAAAGGAACTCAACGGGAAATCAACGAAAATCGACTGAAAAAAATTATAGAAAAACTGCGCGTGGTTAACAAAGATAGCAAAAGTTACTTATAACTCCGCGCAATTTCATTTTCATTGATAAAAAAATGATCAAAGTTGATCACTCACAGATCATCGATAACTGTATCTGCGTGGAGTTTTAATAAAGTTTCTAGAGAAATAAATCTGTTCAATCGTTAGCAAAAATCATACGCAGTTTTTCTATCCAATTAAATTATTATAACCATCTGTCAAAGAATAAATATTATTTTTCACTACAGTCATAATTGCGCGCACCTGAAAGATCAGTCGGTAACATAGATATGTACACTTATATTATTCATTATATTAATATGGCTATAATGAGAAATAATATTTATTCTTTAACAGATGGTTATAATAATATTTTGATTGGATAGAAAAACTGCGTGTGATTTTTGCTAACGATTGGACAGATTTATTTCTCTAAAAACTTTATTAAAACTTCACGCAAATACAGTTATCGATGATCCATGAGTGATCAATTTTTATAATTTTTTTATCAATGAAAATGAAATTGCGCGGAGTTATAAGTAACTTTTGCTATCTTTGTTAACCACGCGCAGTTTTTCTATAATTTTTTTCAGTCGATTTTCGTTGATTTCCCGCTGAGTTCCTTTAGCTGACTATTCTAGCAGCGTGAGGACACTCGATCATTAATCATTATTAATGTGCGTCGTCCGATAAATTTGCACTGTAATCTATTTCATTTTTCACTACGATTGGTCGAAAGGTAAATGTGGTTGCCTTATAGTCTATTGAATTCCACACAGGTCTTAGGATAAATAATAACATGGTTGTATTTTGTTTCACAACAGGTGTAAAAGAACGGTTAACGTGTAAACTCTGCATGTAACGAAAAAGCTGTATAGACCCGGCAATTAATATCAATAAGACACGTGGTCTTTACAAGAAATTTGTTTAGCAACGTATGTTTGGTGTTTGCGTGAATTCGTGTGATTGGAAACCTGTACTACAATGGCAACAGAATTTATGGAAAAAATATTGGACTATCTATCTAAGCATGATGAGGCGGATTCTTTAGATCTTGCTAAACACTTTAATGTTGATCATCAGAAAATTATTGGTACTATCAAAAGCTTAGAGAACTTTAAAGATGTAAGTTTTTCTTTGGTCGATTTAATGCACTACATATAAATTTTTTTATTCTTTTTAATTTTATGAATATTCTTTTTCAATTTTTTTTGAGCAGCCATTAAGTTTTAAAGATAATTTTAAACAAAAGATTTTATTAATTTTTTCATTACATAGTTTTATTAAACAAAATAGTTGTTACAAGTGAATTGAATAAAATACATTTTCATTGTTATCTATAGCTTTTAAAAGTTGAAGCTAACAGCCACAAAGAATGGATTTTAACTGAAGAAGGACAACACGTACTTGAAAAAGGTAGTCATGAAGCTGCGGTGTACAATGCTATACCACCAGATTCAGTTGGTGTTAAACAAGTAGATATCCTTTCAAAAGTTCCTTTTGCCAAAGTAGGTTTATCGAAAGCTATAGCAGCCTCTTGGGTAGAATTAATTAAGAATGGTAGTGATACTTTTATTAAAAGAAAAGTGGATTCTATCTCTGACGATATTCAGAGGAATTTAAAAGAATTACAAACTTTGTCTGATGATTCAAAAAAAGAGTATAAGAAAAGAAAACTAATCAAAGAAAAGTAGGTAATCTTTTAATGTTTCCCTTAAGTCCTTTTTCCTTTTTAATTATTGTTCTTTATAATTAAATATACTATATGAACAATTTTTCTATATTTTTTTGTGGAATTTAGTATCATAAAGATTTTGGTGATTCAGAAGGGACCAAGCTTTTCCACCAAAATTGAAAAAGCAGAAGCTGATCTTACTGCTGAATTGCTGGTAAATGATGCTTGGAAGAATAAGAAATTCAAGCCTATAAATTTGGATGCTCTTGGCACTCCACTTGATGTTGGCCATTTACATCCATTATTAAAAGTTCGTACAGAATTTAGAAAAATTTTTCTTGAGATGGGCTTTCAAGAAATGCCAACCAATAACTATGTAGAGAATTCTTTCTGGAATTTTGATGCATTATTTCAACCCCAACAACATCCAGCAAGAGATGCTCATGACACTTTCTTCATCTCAGGTACAAACAGTTATATGGTAATTATTATAAAAGATATTACAATAAAATAAGAATTTTTATAAAAATTATTTTGATGTAGATCCTGCTTTAAGTGCATCCTTTCCTGAAGATTATTTAGAAAGAGTAAAAAAAGTACACAGCGAGGGAGGCTATGGTTCACAAGGTTATAGGTATTATTGGAAAATAGAGGAAGCTCAAAAAAATTTGTTGAGAACACATACAACTGCTGTTAGTGCTCGTATGCTTTATAAGCTTATGAAACAGGTATGTAAAATAGAATTAAAAATTTTCATTTAAAAAAATGTTTCTTATGTTAAATTTTGTTGTCTTAGGGTAAATTTAAACCTGTAAGATATTTCAGTATTGATAGAGTGTTCAGGAATGAAACATTAGACGCCACTCATTTGGCTGAGTTTCATCAAGTTGAAGGTGTTGTGGCAGATTATAATCTCACTTTGGGAGATTTGATTGGCATACTTCACGAATTTTTTAATAAACTTGGTATTACAAAACTAGAGTTCAAACCTGCCTATAATCCATACACCGAACCTAGTATGGAAATATTCTGTTTCCATGAAGGTTTAGGAAAGTGGATTGAAATTGGAAACAGCGGCATTTTCAGGCCTGAAATGTTACTGCCAATGGGTTTACCAGAAAACGTTAACGTAATTGCCTGGGGTTTATCTCTAGAAAGGTAATAAAAAATGTTTCTTTTTTATTAACTTAATTGTATTGTTATGTGATATTCATAGCACTAATTACAATGTAATTATGTTTACAGACCTACCATGATAAAGTATGGATTGAATAACATTAGAGATCTGGTTGGACCAAAAGTTGATTTGCAGATGGTTCAGGATAATCCATTATGTCGTCTTGACAAGTAAAGTTATTTAATAATTTATTGACTTAATATAGTTTTTTCTATTCTTTGTAAATTATTTATATTGGTTATATAATAAAAATTATTTAATAATATATATAGTTGAGTTTGTAATTTTATAGTTAAGTTTACGAAATTTGCTTACTTTCTCGTTGTTTATATTCTTATCTGAAAGATAATAAGACTATTCATATGTAATCAAAACGCATTTTGTCGACAGATATGAAATATCGGAAACCTCAGTAAATCCTGGCGAATGTTCTGTAGATGAATCACTTGTTGGACAACTACCAAGTATTAAAGATATTGCGGAAGATGCTGTTTTATTCTGCGATCCGAGGCATCTACCTTATTTTATGGTGCCTTTATATTCACTTCTGAAAAAAGTATTTTCTGTCCGCGTATCAATCCACTATCACTCATCGATACCTGTAGTCTTATCATATTTAAGAACTTTCTGCAATCATTTCACGGATTCTATCAATTCTTCACTACCGGAGTTAAAGCTTGTACTTATATGGAAAAAAATCGAGGACGATCATTCATCTGTCTGCTCTTTACGGTACTCCAAAGATAATGAAATCGTTGGTCAAGTGAATGTGGTTCGGTGCTTCAGTAGAATTATTGAACGACAAAATCCTCACCTATTGAGATATGAAAGTCTTGGCGTACCTTTTGCCAATCAGGTTGATTTTTTGCTACGGAAGCTGGAGGAAATTGAGCCGTTTAATCGGCAAAGATTAGAGACGTTATACAGAAGAGTAAAACTTCAGGATACAATGAAGTTCTTTTATGGAGAAGAACGGTGTATAATTGATATTTTTTTTGAATCTTTGTTCGATGTACGAAATGTGTGATTCCTGAAAATAAACTGTTTTTGTGTTGAAGATAAAGAAAAAACAATTGTTTTTTTAAAATAATGATAAAATTTCAAATTGTATTATAAAAGAGTTATTTTTAAATATTTTTCAAGTACATAAAAATAAATTATATAATGCTCATTCCTTATAAAAAAGTGTTTAAATAATTTGAAATAATTTTATAATGCCAAAATTTCAGTTTTTAAATATGCTAGAAAACTTTTATTTTCAATATTTTCTAGATTATTCCACGATTAATAAATTTTCGCTCATTGTAGATAATGTAATTGAAGATATGTCAAATAACTGTAAATAAATCGTTTTAATGCAAAAAAAAAATTTTGTTATTGATGAAAACAGCAGAAAAAATTTTGAGATAAAAATAATTAGAAACCTACAGACCATTTTAGCAACATTTATTATTTTGTACACGGTACGTAAATAACAATTACAATTCCCTTGCTGCGTGACTTATGCAGAATGCATGAATACGAAATGTTTTTATTGGTCCATCATAACATAATTTTTAGAGTCGGTGTATCGTATATTACATTGTAATCGCAGCGTTATAGGCCCATAAAAAATGTTATACTGTATATAATGATTGCACATTCTTCATTTCGTTTGTTCATTATACATATATTTTCCAAGTAACTTAATTTTTCCATATACGAGATAAATATTTTTATTTTCAATATTTTTTAAAATTCTTTTATCTTTTGATCGATATACTTGATACATTTGCATTTATATATAACATGATTATCTCACTTGTAACATGTAGTATCATATATTTCTATTCAGCACCATCAAACACGATTTCTTCTGTTCGAGATATGAGATTTGTCCAGGTTTATTACAATCCAGAGGTATTCGATGTTTTTGGCACGCTACAACTTTAATTATTTATGCCATCAAAAATCGAAAATGCAATTATTTTTTACGTAACAATTTTTTTAAAGCAAAATGAAATCTTTCGTCTGCTTAAATTTTTTGCTAAGATACTACTCAAAATAATTATTATTAAGTATTAGATAATTTTTCTTGTCAATGTGAGTTGTTTTCCTGAAAAATTTATTTTAAAGTAACATAGGTTTTCGAATGAAAATCTTTCGTATAGTACTTTACATTATCCAGGAGTATACTCGTTTAAAAAAATATAAAGAAGTGTTAAAAATACCTTGTACACTCGTCAATAATTTATAATAAATTATACATGGATATAAGTAAAAAATGCTAACAATAAAATCTCATGGCAAGGGTTTACAATTCCTTCTCCAAGAAGAATAATTTAATAAACTGCGTTTCCGTTAATTTCCTTATATAATCGAACTTCAACAATACATAGTGGAAAAATTACAAATAGGCATCCGCTATAATTTAGATTAATCATCAACGTAAAAAAGGTGACAAAATTATTTTTGTTTTGTTTTCACCTGGGAACGCTTTTCAAGATATATGACTAGATTAAAATAGTTGTCTTATCGTCCATCAATTGAGTTTGATCATTGAACGTTTATTTGAAAATTGCGTTTAGTTAATATTAGTAGCAGTGGCTTTTATTTATTAATATTTTCTTTTAGAAATTTATGCTACACGGACAACACAGTTTGCTCTTAGTCGCAAGTAACTTCTGTAATAGCAGAATAGTGAAAAATTTAAACGATAGCTTATGTCGTATCTATATAGGATTATAGATATCTTCGTAACAAAAGTTGCTTATAACAGTCTAATCATTACAAATATATTTCTTTTTACATAATACATAAGAAAAGTAACGCGAATAAACGTTTTCTTTTCACGAATCGTTATGTAGATTTTTATCGTTATGTAGATTGTTTTATGTACAACGACTCTAACTTTATTGTACTAATAATTATTTGATGCAGATGAGTAAGTGTGGTGCTTGGATAGAAAACTACATATGCGGGTATTTACATAACATGTAGTTCAGCTTATTGATTTACAATAAAAAAAAAATTTCCCAAGCTAATACACTTATCATTCTTCTTGTTTACTGTTTTACTGCAGGAGCTGGTAATTAATGAAAATGTTGTGACTCAGCAAAAAATTTTTGGTTCATAGTCGATATATAATCATCACGTCTTAGTCGCTAGTAGAGATTGTTTTTTTATGTACAGTAGCTTAATTTCGCTTGAATTTGACTACCTGCAATTGGATGATACCGCATAATGTCAAGAAATAGCAAACGAAATTTAATTCAACGATCCGGATAAAAAAGCTTTAGTTTTCCGAAAAACAGCGAGGAAGAACTCACAAAGGCGCGGTTCGTTCAAGGCTATTTCTTATACAGATTGGATTCACAGCCAGGTGTTGATGCAAACCCGCTTAACGGGCTCGCCGTCGTCGTTGCGCTGCTGTTGCTGCTGTTGCTGCTGCTGTTGATGTTGTAGAGGCGTAGGTCAGGAGCTCGGCTGTGAGTCGAGTTTTTGGAATCGAGTGGTGTAGGGCAGTCGCGGTTTGAAGTTGAAATTATCGCGGCCTCGTCGTGAATTTCCGTTCTCGAAACTGACCGCCAAGTTGTCAGCGTAACTGTTGCGCCGCGACGTTGCCAGTGTCGACGTCGTCTCGGCAGTCGTCGCTTGCAAATGCAATGGCAATCTCATCGTTCCTGCGACAACAACGAAGCGGAAAATAAAAAAGGGCCGTGATTTGGCGCTTCTCGCCTGTCTTCGACGAGAAGCGAGGGCCCGCAATCGATATTCATTGGCGCTGCGAAATGACGACCAGGGTACAAAGGCCAAAGTTCTTTGTTTGCTTACATCGATCGCACGCGAAGTAACGAAGTAATTAACGCGAAATGCTTTCTCCCGGCACGACGCCGAAAGAAGAAGCGAGCCGTTTGTAATCGAACCCTGCACCCTGATTATGGATGACGACGAGGAAAGAAAAGAGAGAGAAAACAACAAAAGAAGATAATTAATAAAATATAAGCTCGCGTGAAAGTGTAAACGCACGAGTCTCGCTCCACTCCTATTCTGGGTTTTGCTGCCTCCTCCTTTTTCTCGTATGTATAGATTCCTTGTCTCGCGTTAACGTCAGACATTTTCTACTTTTAATAGGCTTTTACCCTACATACCTCGACATTTATGCGAGGGTAAACAGGTCGAAGGAGTAGTCAATCACTATGTATTTCACTTTCATTTTCTTCTTCATTTATTAAGGACAGAAACGGAGAAAACGGCATATGACGTTGCAGACCAATTTTGAAAAGCCAGTCCAGACACGTGTCCACGATTTTACTTGCACTCGGCAAGCTTTAATAGCCGAACGGATTAACGTTGGAAAGAAGAATCGCGCGCAAAAAAATTAAAAACATTTTGTCCGCGTAGCAATGGAAGAAAGAACAAAATAAGAGTATACTTCTGTCGAGCGCAATTAATTATTCGACGTGGCCGTCGTAGCATTAAAAAGAGAGAAAGGGAGAGACTGAGATGGAAATAGGCGTCATTGACTTCGGCTAGAAAAGTAAATCATGGTGTAACCCTATAAAGGAGATCGTGGAGAATTCTCAGAAAATTATACAAAAGGAAAGAGCCAGAAGTGATAAGAAATGAGAAAGGAAAGTTTGTTTACGCGAGTTTATCTCCGAATATAAATGGTAATTTAAACAGTCGCCTTTACCTATCTCTTTCCTTCCTCCTTTGCTTTGTATCGCTAATTAAACGTCGTTAATTTACTCCTGAACGGAAAAGTTGGTTAATTAAAAGCCGTTAGTTTCCTTCGGTTGCCTCATCGTTTGTCAAGAATAGTCATCACAGCCATCAACAACAGTCGACGCGTGTGATTGAGTAAGAGAGATATGGTAAAACTGTCGAACACAAAAGCCTGGCATCCTTAAAGTAATAATTCGTCAAACGACGAAGAGAAGGTCGGCCGTATCAACCAAAAGGAACGTTGTATTAGATGCCACGTGTCAAGCGACCGTAGCATCTATGCGACAGATGGAGGGAGAGAGAGTGTGAGAGAGCGTGAGAGAGCGAGGATAGTAATCAAACGTCAAAATCCATTCAGGTTGAGTTATAACGTCTATTGGCCAAGTCGTTAGCCGATCAATTATCATTCACCGATTGGTCCGATGTGTGTCGCGCGAGCGTACTTCGACCCCTTTCTCTTTCTGTAGAATCGATGCCACTTTTGGCAAGCAGCGCCGTACGACAGGGATGAGAAAATCCTCCATTTTTATGGCTTAAATTGCAATTAGTTTGATTGGATTTGAGCCCACCCCAACTATGGTGTTATTGCTGCCGATCGTTTGTTTGCTTGCGCTCGCATGTTGATTGTTACTGAATCATTAACGACGTCACAGCGCAAAAGCGCCATATCAATAATTCAGCGGAAACGCTTTCGCTGTAATTCGAGCCGCGAGCGCACCCCTGTTGTATACTATTCGCGTCGACAGCCGTGCGCCCAACTCCGCGGCGAACGTCGTCGTCAAGGACTCAGAAAAAGGATGCGATCGCGCAAGTAGTCCAAGTAAACGAGCGATCGGCCGAGCGGCACTCACCATTTCTTGATATTCTGTTGCGAATCTCGGGACTGCCAGCACAGCTGTATCTCGAAGTAACAGCCTCGGAGCGTGAAAGTGCTGGCTCGGGTCCATAGCGCACGCAAGGGCAGCACCTGAAGAACTGCGCGAATCCTCGTCTAAACCTGCGGGCCGAAATTTCGAATTAACATACGGCCGGTTTGTTCTCGCTCAATTCACTGTCTACATGTGCGTCGAGACAGCCTCGAGCTCTATAATGCTCGTTTCGCTCGAGTGCGCACGAAACGCTACTTACATTAACGGATTCACGTGCGCGCTCAACGCAGGCAATGCCAAATGGGAAAAGGAAAGCCGCGTAAATTTGTCGTTTTTTTTCGTAAAGTAATGCGTCGTTACGATGGAAGAATCTCGGAGGGGCAGAGGGAGAGGGAGGGAGGGAGAGAGAGAGAGAGAGAGACAGCCGGCGCAGGGCTTTTATCTGTGACCGCCGCCAACTGGTCGTCGGGTGACGAGCAAGTAAGCAAGACGGATCGTCGTGAAAAAGCAAAATTGGCCGAGCGCACGAGCAGCCCGGATTTGTTGCACTGCGATCAGCTAGCTCGCTTTCGTTTTTGTCTGCCGCATGCCTCTCGATCGTGGAGAAGACTTGGTTAGATTTAATTAAGCAAAGTGAGCTTGCCGTTGTCTTAGGCGAGTGTTAATATCGCGCACGATGATCCAATCAATTAGTTGAATTCGAAAGGGAAAAACAAGCGGCGAAAGCGAATGTAGGCCGAAGTTGTTGTTAATAGGTCTGCGCTTTGTAGTGCGCGCTCACGCCGACAATCTAATTAACGGATATGGTGGTAGGCTTACCTTGAATTCATCCAGCAATAGATGATCGGATTGTACATGCTGTTGGACATGGCCAGCCAATAAATGGCAAGATACAGCTCCTGAATATACGGTTCGTCCGTTATCTCGGGCAGGTACGAGGTCACCAGGAAGTATATGTGGAACGGCAACCAGCACACCGCGAATATCACCACCACCACCATCATCATCTTCACCACCTGCAACACGCGCGTTTGGTCACTCGAGGAGCGCGCACGCAACACCTACATATTCTATTCTGGAAGTTTTGAGCGCAGGACGTGTCGTGTCAGGAGGAGGGGGGAGGAAGAGAGTGAACGACTATAATTTATGGCTGACCCGCAGAGCGCTTTAGGGCTTCGCTGAGATAATCCCTTTAAGTGTTTGCAACAGTGATGCCAACAGCGGGGGAGAGCCCGCCGCCCCGAGCGAGCTGCCCGATTTTTGACCAGTGCCATGATTAGATTTTGAAGCCAAGGCTTTAAGCCGTCAATGTTATCGCGTTCGAGCTGAGCTACTTACGGCTATGCAGCTTACAGTTTATCTAGTTTTAGTTTCCAAGACAATCGTGTTTGATTGTATGTTTTCACATTTACGTAGAGTCGTTTCACACCCGAGCGAGAAATTCAAGCCGTAATTGAAGATGTTGAATGCCAAGAGAGAGTAATAGCTTAAGCTTGACAATCAGAGTGGAATAAGTCCAGGCAGCCTCTCACTCATACTCTGGGAGCTTTAATCCTGAACTGCGTACGCAGAGAGAGAGAGAGAGAGAGAGAGAGAGAGAGAGAGAGTTTATCTTCTAATGTAACGATGTTAGTCTAACCTCATTGTCGTCAAGCTGCTTTGTGGAAGATATTATTGTCGACCGCTGGCTCGTTCGAGGTACGCTTTTCCAAATATTCTCGATATTTCGCTAAGCCGCGAACAAAAAAGGCACCGTTCCGACCGTCGTAGCGGATTAATCCGCTTGACCACGACTGATCGCACAAAGAGCCACGAACGTGTGTCTACTGTTGATATTTTACGCCTCTCGAACTCGCGCCAACGGTCGTTGATTGCAGGCTTGCTTCCGTTAAAACTCCTCTTAGCTCTCGTTACGGTATATCCTGCGCTCGTTTCTCTCGCTCGCTCTCTAGCTCTTTGGCGATTGGTTATGGCTTCGCGTTACTCACGAGACGCACTACGGGATGAATGTTAAGTCGACTTTCATACCAAGTTTCCTTCTAATCCTATTGGATATAGTTTTGTGCAGACTCCGTAGAATTCGTCCAGGATTCAGACCGAGAGATAACTTTGTTTGGGAATTAAAACGAGACCGTGCGCGCGCGCGCGTGGAAAGTTACGTTTCGATTATTCGCAGATCCAGATGCCGTTTTCTGAGTTTGGCGAGCAGCTTAAAAAGATTGTCGGCCAAGTCGATTGACCCCTCGAAGCAGCGAGGATTTCGCGAAAGTTCATTAGGCGCGCGTGCATCGCTCGACAGTCATCCGTGTAGCTCGCCGCCGTACGAGAATCGAGGCAGCGATTTGGTCCGTTCACGGCGAGCTCGTTATTCTTTTCGTCGCGGGCGCGCCCGTCGGTCCATCAAAATGGAGCTCGCGGGTTGTCTCCCGGCGCACGCGACTCCGTACCGGGCTCAGCGCTGGAATCAATGCAGAGTGCAGTCGGGGCGCCGCGAATAAATCCTTGGCCATTAGGCGTGTGGCGACGTAAGCCGTCGCAATAATTTGATATCGTTCTAACGCAGGCATAGCACGAAGCCCAATGGATCGCCACTACGTGCTGAGCATGCGCGATATTTACAATATAATTAATGTCCCAACGAGAGAGGCGATAGAATTTTAATGGCCAGACGTGAGTTTCCATTTTTTATTTTACTTGCGAGCGGGATATTGCCCAAGTTTGATGTCTCGCAAGCTTACGATAATGAACCAATTAGCGTTGAAATAGCGACGGAAGTACCGTGACTATCGCTACACACCCATTCATCTGTCCGCCTATGTATATTCGGGCTATATATAGCTCGCGCCGTTTAATAATCGCGAGTACCACGGCAACGTTTGTCTTTTTTTCTTCGAGCACCAATAGAAATACGCGAGCCTCGAAAAGAGAACATATTGCGTTCGCCAAAGTTATATTGCTTGAGAACAAAGTTTGAGTCAAGAATTTTTTATCCCCCCTCCTTTCGCAGCGCTAGAAGCTTTACTCCGAGCTTACTTATTAGTTCTCTCTCTTTAAGAAAAGCGAGTCAATTGCGAGAAGCTTTTGAATAAATTGTTCGGTTTTTCCCGGCCATTCAATGTCGCTTTCCTAATCCCGCGCATACACGCTTGCTATTGATCGGTTCGAAGTTTTATCAAAGCAAGCGATAATTGCTTTTAGAACGACTTTTTCATCGAGTTCTTCAAACTTAAAACGATTATAAAGTTAATTGCAGAAATTGGCTGTTCGTTCTCGAAAGAAAACCTGCGCGTCGCATTACATTCCAACTTGTTGAGCGAAAGAAGGTGTGGAAATTACTTCGAAGGTAGTTCAAGCGAGAGATTTTTTTTCTCTCGCTTGTTGTCGGAAAACAAAAGTGCAAGTAAAGCTTCTTTCATCAAAAATCGATTTACCCAAGTCGTTTCGGGTTCATGAGTTCAGCGTTATCGCATCAAAATGCTAAACTAGCAACGGAAGGGATGTGTAATATTAAACGGCTTGCTTCCGCAACTTTATCCGCCGACTGCGTAGAATTTTTCCACGCAGAAAATTGCAATACGTCGCTATTGATTCAAGCAACTTTGTGAAAAATGGAAAAAGAAAGAAAACGTTACCTTCCTTTTTCTCTCGTCCGTTGCAAAACTTAAAGAACCTCACCTTATTTTGCACTGGCGCGCGCGCTGAGAGAGAGAAAGAGAGAGACAATTTAATTTAGTCGAGAAAATTTGCATGATACAATATTTCATAAATGTTTACGTTAGTTTCCGCCTTAATGAAAATTTTTAAATGTAACGACGTCTGTTGTCGCGCGTCAATATTCAAAATAAATATTGCCACACAGCCGCAGGAGTGCACTTTATTGTTTCGAAATAACATTTTCCAACGCGTTAACGACTTCAACGAAGCGACTGAGTGCACAACTGCGAATGGCGCTCATTGAAAATAAATGACCTGGCCTGAGAATTAGAGAGCTTGAGTGATTTTTACGTGCTACCCATTGGGCTTTCGTAAATGCTAATGAAAGCGTTAGAACGAGAACGCGATCTACGTAACGGTGTAAGTAGAAATAAATTTAGAGTAAGGTAACGTACAACGTCGTATTGGGAGTTAACGGCTGCTGAAAAAAAATCAACGCGAAATATCGAGGGAATGAGTGGAAAGCACGAGCGCACGCAGCAATCTCTAATCCAATCGACGTTATATACCGCAGTCAGCTCATACATCCAATCATCGCGATCTGCCCCGCAGTTCACGTTAAATTGAAACTAAATGAGTCTCGCACTCGTGAATCTCATTTCATTTTTTCCGCTTCCGCCGCTCCGCTGCTCGTTCAGTTAGCCCCGCTGACAAATTCACTCGGGGAAAAAACTCTTTCGTACCACGGTCGCCGATCCGCCGACTAAGGCAGCTTTAATGTAGCGCGCGACGCCACGAG